TGGGGGGATTAGAATAATATCTTTAGATTTCTGGGACCTGCTGTGGGGAAGAGGAATTCCAGTTTCTAAGGCAAGTCTTCGGGGAGAATGTGGAGTCAGAGACAGGAAGGCAAGAGAGGTCAGATAACTTTTGTGTGTGTGTGAGGCTGCTTCTGAGGTCTTAATTTTGGGGTGTCGTTTTTTAAGCCCCAACACTTTGGGTTCAGTGTGTTTCACTCTCTGCTCTTGCTGTGTGACCTGAGGACAAATCACTTACCTTCTCTGAACTTCAGTTTCTTCATCTGTATAATGAAGCTAATTATACATACCTCAAGCAACATTTAACTAAAATAATGCATATAAAACCACAATTGCTGAAAGCATAGTAAGTTCTCAATAAATGGTATCTAAATACATTGCTGAGAAAAAGAGGAGTTAGCCCTGGCTACTGGTTATTTTAAAAAAAAATTTCTATAAGTTTACTAGGAATAGCGCTGGCAAATAAAAGCCGATCAACCGAAGTCATAGCTCCAATTTGTGTTCTGTCAAATGGCACTACAGAAAAATGAAAGGATAAAAGAAGGCGAAATGGGAAAATGTGAGTGAATGAAAGTGCAAAGAAGAAAAGAGAAAAAGAGGAATTGAATTTTGAAAAGATTTAGAGAAGAAAGGGTGAGCAGGAGAAAGAAGTTAGAAGAACCAGAACTGAGAAAGAAGAGGCTAGATCTGAGGCTCCTGCGGTGAGGACCCGGGCCTGGCAGAGCCCCGCGGGGCACAGTCGGGGCGGGGCCCGGCAAAGCAACCACGGCCCCTCACTGATGGGCTTACGAAGCGGGGATCTTTCGGTCCCGGGCAGCCCCTCTGCCTCCTGAAGCACTGAGCCTGGATGGCACCAGCACCCAGCTGGCAGGACGCCCTCCGACTCGAGGTGAGACCTTTATTTTCCCCGCCCCCCTCGCCACCCTCTCCGGGTTCGGTGGGCGCTTCCTTCCCTCCACAGGGGCGGGCGCCGTGCGCGGTCAGCGCCAGGGGCAGAGGCCGCACCTGGGTGACTCCTGCTGCCACGTTATCTGAAGCTGTGCTGGGGTGACCAGGAACAGTCCCGACGTTGGAGTAGCGGTTCGCGGACGCCACTGCGCTTATCCCTTATGGTAGCTTCTGTGGAATAATTGCCTCTTTTCATTTTCCCTACTCGGAAGAGCTCAGAGAAACTTGGCGCGTTCCCAGGCTCAGGTAGTCACCGTTGATGGAGCAGCGCCCGGGTGACTGGCAGCACCAGTCGCGCTGCTAGGGACAGGTGGCAGACAGATGGCGGAAAGATCACTTACAGGTAGTCCCCGTAAGAGATGGGGCAGCGCCAGTCGCGCTGCTGGGGTCAGGTGGCCGAGAGGAAGGTAACCTGGCTTCCACGCTGGGAGGCTGTGACCAGGACAGAAACAGCAGGAAGCAGTTCAGATGTTCATAGATTTGAGAAAATGAAAGTGAGTAAACTACGGCCCCTTTCCATCAAGAAATGTACTTGTGATGTGATATGATGCATACGTGTATATCAGAATATATTTATTCCTGGCTCATATCTCCCATAGCCTTTGTCACAGTGTTTTGTTATAATGTTGGGGCACTGCAACCCTCCAGAAAATGGAATTTCTCTTTTTGACCTTCTTCTGCCCTCCTTTCGTCTGCTGTTTTTCTCTCCAGGGTAGGGATCTTCCCCTATATTTCTATCTTGTAGCTGGCTATAAATAAATTCTCTGGTCTGCCTTGTCTGATTGTAGGTCATAAGACTCCCGTTTCAGAAGGGTCCTGCAGGAGGAAGGAATGCTGCAAAGGGGAACTGAGAAGAATTTGAAGAGGCAGGCCTCACTGGGTTCCCCCAGTCTATTAGTATGAGATCATACAGATTCCGTGGGATGACATTCCCACACAATTGTCAGTCATGCCTATCTGATGAAGTCCAGACTCAGGACCTCAGTTGCTGTCTACTCAAGTAACTTACATGTTTCTATCTGCAGGCCAAACCTCGCCTCAGGTTCCATTTATTCAGCTGAATAATTGACCTCTTTTGATTTCACAAAGGCCTCATATCTCTGCTAACTGAACTCTTAATTTCCCAACCTCTTACCCACATCCCAAACTTGACTCCTTTTTTGTTACTCCCTGTTCGGTAGATGTGACCATTGAGCATTCAGTTGCCAGACTGGAAAGTGTGGGCATCCTTGAACTCCTCCTCTCCCTCATACTCCTAGTCAATCTGTTACTGAATCTCCCCCAGTTTTATCTCCCAAAACAGATCCTTGACTCTCTTAGCTTCTCCACTAGCAAAACTTCCCTCTTTAGGTTTCAGCTAATGATCAGGTCTCCTCCGCACTACTGCATCCTGAATATAAATCTGCTAACCTGTCTACTCACATCTACTTTCTGCCTGTCTGTTCAGTAACCACAATGCAGTGACACCTCAAGTGTCTTCCATCAAAGTGTTATCCCGGAGGTCCTATAAGGGATGATCCCCACTACCTCCCCAGCTTTATCCCTCCTGATTCCCTTGCTCTCTGAGCTGTCACACTTAGGCCCTTCAGTTAGTCTTCATGTACCAGGCATCCTGCAATTGAGTGAGTTCATGCCTGCTCACTTGTTCTTTTCATCTTGGTTTAATTCTATCTTCAGGGAAACCTGATCTGATGCTGAAGTCTAGGTGAAAACTCCTCTGTTAGATGCTTCTCATTGCACTGCTTCTCCTTAGCCTTTATTATTACAGTTATGTTTTACACGTGGTCTGTGCATTTTTGATTAATATCTGAGTCCCTTTCTGGATAGTAAGTGTGAATGGGACCTGGTTTTCCTCCCTGTGGTGCAGTGTATAGCATATAATAGGTACTCAGCAAACAGCAATTGAAGGGTGAAACACATAGTGACTTCTGAGTGCAGAATCCCTAGAAGAGAGGATAGCTTTTGAAATCGGCCCTAAGAATTGGTAGGAGTGACAGTAGTGCTGTTAGAAGGTCAGGGTGTGAGTGGCTTAAGCCATTTCTGGCAGGAAACCAGGTGCAGCTTGAGAACATCTAGTTCTGTTAAGACTAGCGGAGCATAATGGGTGTCAGAATGAAAAAACAAGTTTGATAACAATTCTTGAAGATCTCTCAGAAGTTACTTATATGATTCAGAGAGTGACCTCCTTTAAAAATTTTTTTTAATGTTTTTATCAAGAAGAAAAAGCAACAAGCAGAAACTCACTGTATCTGTCCTTTGCCATCCTTTTGCCTCTCCTGTCACTTTTCCTATAATGTGAGCCCCAAGACAGGGATTTCTAAGTATCTTCAAGATGGATCTCTGTATTAGCTATTCTCAGTTGTAAAGGAGACAAAACTAGGGTTCTTTATACTGAGGCCACATTTTTGGAATTTGACAGCTTAAAAAGCTTCACTGTGCTAGGTATAGTCTTTAAAGTGTGATCAAGCTACTGATGAATTATTCTAGTCTTCAGAAGTCCGTGAAAAGCTGGACACTTCAGAACACAAATATATGTTGTTGTTTTTCCTCCTCTCTAATCTCAGAGAAATACATTTCATTTTTCCTTTTTTATTATTCTTGTGGTCCTGGAATTTTCTTTTCTCAGAATCCCGTAATAGAACAGTGGAATTTAAAATCACTTCAAATGCTTACCGTGTTATTTCTCTCTATCATCTTGGGTAAAAAAGTTCTCATCTCTAAGCCTTAAGTTCTTGATCTTTACAATCTTATTAAAAAATAAATCTCCTGTGTAGAACACCTGCCTGCCTGGCATTTAGTTAGAACATGTGCCTCTTGCTCCATCCTTTCAAAGCTTCTTTTATTTCAGTATTCCCAGTGTTCTTTCTTTTATCTTCCCTTTATCCTTTGCCCAGACATTTACCTATCTTTAAAAATGTTTCTTATGTCCTTTTTCTCAGTTTCCTAAACCAATGTTTTGTTGTTGTTGTTTTTGCCTAAATTACCTTTATTTCACACAGCTATGCAAATTGTGAAGTCCAGGGATATGATTGCAAACAATTAAGGTTGAATTTACATGAATAAGCTTTCTTCCCCATGAATATAGTATGTGTCACTTCTCACTTGGTCTAACACACACAAAATTCCCACCCTATCTGGCACAGATACACTCAACATGCAACATTAACTACAATTTCCGTTTTATTTTTCTCCAGAAAATAGTCCATCTTCAGTCTTTAAGGACTCAGCTCTTTACATGGGCTTTGGTGAGGGTCGTGGGGCAGCACCGCAGGTCTAAATCAGGTGGGGAGTTGGGTCCTTGCAGGCTTCATGAGATCCATTCCTGACTACTTTGCTGTGAATCGCACAACTCACAATAATGTAGCTTCACATACAGTTCTGTAAGCACATAGGCATCGAAGACGCGCGCTTCAGAAATGTCCCTGACTGCTGCGGCCTCCACTATGTTTCCAATGACGAATTTCTTTTTTTCCTTTTTTTCCAGTGTCATGTGATACTACCAATGATGAATTTCTTAATGGCCTTGTCCTTGGGTACGCATCAGGCACAGTTCATGCAGCGAATAGACTGCACGAGGCCTTGACCCTTTTTTTGGCACGACCTTTGTTTCCTCTTTTCTTTGTCATCCTGGAGGCACGGACTGGAGAGTGTGTTTCATTTTTTAATGTGTTATGATATAAACACATTTGGAGACAATTTAATAGAATTTTTTTTTGTTTATTTCTGCATTAGCAGTGAAGTAATCAGGTAAAAAATGTTCTTTAATTGGTCTAGGAGTAGATCTTGGGGAAAAAAATTGAACTCTGGAACAGGGCAGAGGGATAAATTCGAAATGAAAGTCTGTGGCTAATTAAGATTTTTTCGGTGAAAAAACTATTCTATAATTAAGACTTTTAGAGAATTCTGACTACTTTGTGCTGACATGTGTTAAATATTTCAGAAGATGGCTGATCCTTGGCAGAAATGCATGGATTATGCAGTAATCCTAGCAAGACAAGCTGGAGAGGTATGAATTAAAACTTTGTCAGCCATAATGTGATGTGTGTGAACAGTGTGTGGTTGCCTTATTAAATAAAACATGTATTTTGATCAGTCTGCATTTGTTTTCCTTTTACTAAACACTTTACAGGGAGTACTTGAATTTTATATCATTAAACGTCTTGTGATGACAGTTATGCAGCTAAAATAGGATGTTAGATTACATAATTCTGTACCTAAAAGGTCACAATTATTGAAGGCTTATAGACATTTTTGTAAGAAATTCTTTAAGAATATCTTTAAGGAATGTCATTTAAAGTCAAATGGAATGTTTTAAACCATTTTTGTGTTTTACCTTTTGTTCGATTTAAAATTATTTATGCTTTTCTATTTGCCTTCTAAAAATCCTTTTTAGATGGTTCATGATGCTCTTAAAGCTGGAATGAATGTTTTGCTGAAAAGTTTTCTAGCTGATCTGGTAACTGCTACTGACCAAAAAGTTGAAAAAATGTTTATCTCTTCCATAAAGGAAAAGCATCCATCTCACAGGTATTTCTTATTTTCATTTCAAATGATAAAATAAGATCTAAGTTGGAGTCACTTCTACTAAGCAAACATTTTGATTTTAGACATAGAAATTGACTTTAGTTAGTTTAAGCTGAAAAGGGATTTATGTTGAGGGTGTGGGCTCCTTGGGCCAGAACCATGGGTGGGAGGAGGAGTATCTGGAGAGGACACAGGAGCCATGGCTTAGGGGTAGCCACTGGTAGCCTCTGACTCTGATGGTTTGAATACTTTCTAACTTACCTTATATCTTTGCCTCATTAGTTTAAGATTACAAATCCTGTTATAGGTGTATAGGAATGCTTGTGATTTTTGCACATTGATTTTGTATCCTGAGACTTTGCTGTCATTGCTTATCGTCTTAAGGAGATTTTGGGCCGAGACAATGGGGTCTTCTAAATATACAAACATGTCGTCTGCAAATAGACAAGCATGGCATGCGTATACCTATGTAACAATCCTGCACGATCTGCACATGTACCCCAGAACTTAAAGTATAATAATAAAAAAAAGATTACAAATCCTAGGCAGGAATATGCGGTTTCTAAGCTTAGGTGCTTTGCGCCTGCTCCAGCTGACAGGAAGTAGGAAAGAGGAGTATGTGGATTCCTTTAGAGTAAAAGGAATGGTTGGGTGCTGGGAAGCTAATGTGACAAACGTCTGCTGTTGGCATGATTTAAAAGTTCAAATTCATTCTCTGTATCGTAAACTTCTTTATATAGTAGAGTGATAGTAGCTCTAGAAAGTCTGAGAGAAAATCCTGAAATTAAGGCTCTTTTACAGGCACAGAAATTTAACAGAAACATTATTATCATTCTAAACTGTTAGCACTGTAATTCTGGACTTCTTCCTGGTCATGTTATTGGCCATTCTTGGTATTTTTAGCTGTTTGGAAGAAAAAGTGTTTAAAGCCATGGCTAAGTATTTTTCTTCCAAATAGATTTATAGCTAAGAGAAAAATAGATAAATGAAGGCGATGATAGTTATTATTAAGACAATTCAGTTTTAAATGAATAAAAATAATATAAAATAAAATAGGAAAGAAGAAAACCAGTGAACTCTAGCACTATTTATGGAATTTCCATAAGATTTAATTAGAAACGAGTTACCAAGTGTAGTTCACACTCAAGGCAAGAGGTATTAGGTCTGCCTCTTGATGGGAGTAGTATTAGAGAGTGTCTGGACTTATTTTTAAAATCATGGCATTTCCTTATGATTTCTCATCTGCTGCAAATCCTCTTGTCTAGGGTGCGTGTGTGTGTGTGTGTGTGTGTGTGTGCATGCACAAGTGTGTGCCATTACGTACTCTGGTATTACATTTTAGAATTTGTTTGTTTGTTTGTTTGTTTGTTTAGAGACAGAGTCTTGCTCTGTCACTCAGCCTGGAGTGCAGTGGTATGATCTCAGCTGATTGTAACCTCCACCTCCTGGGTTCAAGCAATTCTCCCGTCTCAGCCTCCTGAGTAGCTGGGACTACTGGTGCCCACCACCACACCCAGCTACTTTTTGTATTTTTAGTAGAGACGGGGTTTCACCATATTGATCCGGCTGGTCTTGAACTCCTGAACTCAGGTGATTCCCCTTTTCCTCAGCCTCCCAAAGTGCTGGGATTATAGGTATGAGCCACCATGCCTGGCTGCATTTTAAAATTTTGAATTTTGTAATTTTTCACATGACTTTGCTCTCAGTGAAATAAAATAAAGCTTCCCCCCCACCCCGCCACTGTTATCCTGTTATCAGGCTTTATAGGGACAAAGAAGCAACAGTAGAAAAGTAGGGTGCAGACTTTTATTATATTTTATACAAAACTGTGTAGCTAAGGAAATGTCATGGTTTGGAAATTGTTGCTAATAGAATAGGAGTGTGTCCTTCTTGCTTTTAGTTTCATTGGTGAGGAATCTGTGGCAGCCAGGGAGAAAAGTGTCTTAACTGACAACCCCACATGGATCGTTGACCCTATTGATGGAACAACTAAGTTTGTACATAAGTACGTTTCAAACATTTTAATATAATTGCTGTTTGCATATTACCTGGAAAGCCCTTCAGAGTACTGTGTGCTGGTATATACACATTTTAGAGAATTGTGTACTTTGTTTATGCATCTTTATTCTAACAAAGGGTATCTAAAGTGAATAGAGCGAAATGTATTATGCAGATTTCTCATAGGATATGGAAGTGAAGAAATAATGATGGTGTGACCTTTTCTTGAGGTGTAGAGTACCCTGTTCACCTTCTTTTCTCACTCCTGGAGCCATGTAGAAATGGAAGCAAACAACCCTGCTTCTTTGAGATCCATGAAGAAACTAATGAGGTCACTTTGGTCAAGTTAGTTAATCTTTGTAAGCCTCAGTTTTAAAAAAGTTTATAAAATAGCCATATTAATGTTACCAATCTAATAGAACTGTTTATTGATGGGACTCTATGAGTGGTCCATTCATGTAAGAACTTAGTAAGTTCTTGGCACAGAGTAAGTATAGGCCTGGCACAGAGTAAGTATATGATATCACTAGAAGAAAGCCTGATTGAATTGTGAGTTAAAATGAGTAGCCAACTATGGTGGGATTCCATACAGATGTTACTTTTCAGTTTTTCTTTTTCTTTTTTTGTTTAAGACGGGGTCACACTCTGTCATCCAGGCTGGAGTGCAGTGGCAAGATCATGGCTCACTGCAGCCTTAAACTCCAGGGCTGAAAGGATGCTCCTGCCTTAGCCTCCCAAGTAGCTGGAACTACAGGCACAAACAACCACACCAAGCTAGTTTATTTACTTATTTTTATAGATATGGAGTCTCGTTATGTTGCCCAGGCTGGTCTCAAACCCCTGGCCTCAAGCAATTTTCCCATCTTGGCTTCCCATAGTGCTGGGCTTACAGGCTTGGGCCACTATATCCGGCCTATCAGTGTTACTTATGAAGTTGCCATGAAGTTGTACATATCTGTACTATGTACAGAATCATTAAAATCTATAAACTTTTATAGACTTGAGAACATGTATATGATAGTGCTGTATCTTTTAAATTTGGAAGGATGCTTATGATATATTGTAATGAAAGAGGAGAAGATTGTATGATACAGTGTGTATAGTTTGATCCTATTTTTGTTAAAATAAAAACTCTCACATATTTAGAGGCTTTTATGTTTAGTAGTTATGCTGACCATATTTTGCCTTGATCTTGACACTCTAGTGAGTCAGAAATTTCAACCTATGTATTCAAACTGTCTTGCAACCATAAAAACAATGGTGAACAGTTTACTTTTCAGATGTGAAGTTCCAGGTGTGGTACTGGAGTAGAGACAAGTAACAGCAATTCTGTACAATGCAGAACCTGTGTCTACCAAGGCTCCAGGCTGCAGGAAAAATGATGAAAATGGACTCATCTTAACAATTCACTGTAATTTTTTTTAAATTTACTTTTACTTTTTGAGAAGATATTTTCACATAGTCATTAGCTTATGGCATTTGATATTCAAAAGATAGGAAATGGCATACAGTAGAAGGTACCCTTGCCACTTCTGTCCCCAGTTTCTCAGGATCCATCTCTCAGGTGGCCATTGCTATCTGTTTCTTATGAATCCTTTCAGAGATGTTTCATGTCTGTAGGAGTATCTTGTGTGAATGCATGTACGTATATATAATATGTCCCCTTCCTTCCTATTTACCCAAAGAGTTGTATACAATATACACTGTTCTGCATCTTAGATATTGTGGAGAGGAGGGATAAGACTGTTCACAGAAAGTTTATGAGTACTTACATTATGAAAAGATGCATTTTAGTGACTATATTAATGATGACTTCTATCTTGGTAAATTTGCGTTTTGTCTTTTTTAAGATATCCTTTTGTAGCTGTTTCGATTGGCTTTGTTGTAAATAAGAAGGTATGTTGTTTTAAATGCATAGTTGATTAGATGCCTCACTTTCATTTTCTGAAAAAGAGTAAATGTATGTATCTCCATAATAAATTCAGATTTGTCTTTACTTTCAATTCATATAACTGCATTATTTGGAATATAAGCTACAGGACTGTTAAAATGTTCATGATGCATTTCCATTGAAGAAAATTTAATGTTTTCTGAGAAGCAGGGGTTGTAAGGAGAAGCACACAAGTAACTGAAAGACAGTTCAGTATTTAGCCACCATTATATGTACGATAGAGTTAGATGGGTTAGGAGTTTATATGTGATCTAAAATGCTTTATGGAAAAGGTGGGATTTAAGTTGGGAAGGCTATAATAGGTATCAGTGAAAAGAGCCCTTGAAAGACCAAGAATTAGCAAGGGCGAATGCATGGTTTGAAAATAGAAAGTGTATTATGAATTTGACACATTATTGAATACTTGTGTCAAAAGCCCAGTAGAGTAAAATCCATAGCTATTGCAGTTCCTTGCTGTTTGACTGTTTGGTTAAACAGTAAAGATGTTTGCTATTATCTTACATCCCTGTCTTCAGGGAATTTTTGATAGGTTTGATCAACCTATACACAAAACGGTAAATAAATTTCTGAAAATAAAACACAAATTGGTAGAAATGGAGGCTTAGCCTGAGGGTTATATTAATTGTGAGAATGTCCAAAAGGAGCTAAGTGAGTATTCAGTATATAATCAGCCCTGGGCTGTGTGCTGGCCCTGCCATTGAAGTCACAGCTCAGCACAAAGTTGGAAGTGTGAACAGGTAAAGATGATATGTGGTGGAACCATGACAAAAATATTGTGGGAACACAGGATGTCACCAATTCTATAGAGAGTGGATTGGGAAAATCTTTATAACAGAAGGGGTCTTAGAAGTTGGTCATGTAAGTTGGCCCTTAGAAAATTAGGGCTTTGCCAAATGGGGGAAAATAAAAAGGAAAAGAAAAAAGGAGAATGTTTTAATCTGAAGAGCAGTTTGGAGAAGTTGAAGACCACGACGTGTGTGGGGAACGGTGAGATGTTCATGGAGAGGGAAGCACTGCAAGTGGCTGGGGCAGAGGTTACTTTGGCCTTAATGTGAGGCACAGTTGCCAGTCAGTGCAAGAAAATTTAGCTTTGGTTTCTAGTTAATTGAGAACCAGTACAGGTTTTGAATTTGACAATGAGAGATAATTCTAGCAATGTAGAGATTATACTGGGTGATCCTGAACTAAGCAGAGGCAGTGAGAAGAGCCAAGGAAATGTCAAAATTGGTAATTTTTTTTTTTTTTGACTCAGTCTTGCTCTTCTCTGCCAGGCTGGAGTGCAATGGTGGGATCTTGGCTCACTGCAACCTCTGCCTCCTGGGTTCAAGTGATTCTCCTGCCTCAACCTCCTGAATAGCTGGGATTACAGGCACCTGCCACCATGCGTGGCTAATTTTTGTATTTTTAGTAGAGACAGGGTTTCACCATGTTGGCTAAGTTGGTCTTGAACTCCTGACCTCAGGTGATCTGCCCGCCTCAGCCTCCCAAAGTGCTGGGATTATAGGTGTGAGCCACTGTGTCCAGCCTGGGATGTGTTTTTACGATTAAATTTGAAGGAGATTTGTGGGGAAACAATGGGAGGTGATCAGGCAATAAGTGATTTTGACCTCCTTGATAGAAATTCTGCAAGGCTAGGTTCTAAAGTATATGTTTTTATCTATGATTATGGGGTTGATGGTAGCCAAAATTATTGTGAGTTGCATTTGTGGACTGGAAAAGCCAACTTGTATGAATATGGAGACCTATAAGGGAAATGGAAGCAATGGGAGAAGGAAGAAAATCCTGAGGTCCCTGAGTTTTAAGGGTGAGGCAGAGAAGGAGGTTCTGAAATAGTGACTCCGAGGTGATCTGGTGAATGAGGTAGAACAGAAAGAGTAATTTTGGAAACATATAGGTACTGAATTAAATACTAAATAAGTGTTGATGATGGCCAGCAGTCTCCAATTCTTCAGACAATACGTTTGGTCAGGAAAGTTCATTAACATCCTCTCCCGGACTTTCAGAAGAATAAGTGATCAGGGCAGAAGCCAAATTGTAATGTATTAAGAGGAGCATAGGAGACGCAAAGTGTAGACTACTCGTTGGCAGTAAAGGTAAAAGGAGGGAATAATATTTTGAAGGTTTTGTAAGGGAGGCAGAAATTTGGTGAGAAGGTATGAGAAGAAAAATCCAAGAGAAGAGTGATTAGTTGATGGAGCAGTTTTTCAGAGAATATAAGAGAGGTTAGAAATCCTCACACAGGGCATGTGTTCACCTTAGAAAATAGAAAAGCTCTGTCTTCCGGAGCAGAGGGAGAGAGGTAACATGAATGCTATTAAGTCTGGACATAAATGAGGTGAGAGTGAAGGGTTCCAGATCTGATGACCTCTTTCTCTGATTAGGTTGGAAAGCATCCTACAGTATAGCCATTTCAATCTATTATTCCTAGTGTTTCTTGTTACTGTCTTAGAACAATTCACTGATTTAACAGTAAAAAGTGCTCAGATTTGGTAAAGGAAACTTGTTTTTCTTTTGCAGATAGAATTTGGAGTTGTATACAGTTGTGTGGAAGATAAGATGTACATTGCCAGGAGAGGAAAAGGTGCCTTTTGTAACAGTAAAAAACTACATGTTTCACAACAAGAAGGCAGGTTTATTCCCCAATTTTTAGTGCTATTGATACTGTATACTCTTATTCTTTTAATGTTTACCTATGGAATTCCCTATTTGTTAAGTGATTCATAAACTGTGTTTATTTTCTCTTGGTTCTGTTATTTCAACTTTAGTTTTGAATGTGGAGTGGAAATAGGGAAAGCAAATGTAATTGGGCAAACACTTCAGGCTCAGCATTGGATTTGGTGATAGAGATAGGAAGATGATTAAGACTGGCTTCCTACCTTTGTGGTGTTCATGGTTTATGTGTTAGCAATCATAGCTAAAATTCATTGTAAAATTCCTCTGATATGATGTCATTGTGACAAATTACTGAAAAGTAATGTGGGGCCAGGTGCAGTGGCTCATGCCTGTAATCCCAACACTTTGGGAGGCTGAGTTTGAGACCAGACTGACCAACATGGAGAAACCTATCTCTACTAAAAATACAAAATTAGCTGGGTGTGGTGGTGTATGTCTATAATCCCAGCTACTTAGGAGGCTGAGGTAGGAGAATAGCTTGAACCTGGGAGGTGGAGGTTGCGGTGAGCCGAGATCATGCCATTGCACCCCAGCCTGGACAACAAGAGCAAAACTCCATCTCTAAATAAATAAATAAATAAATAAATTTTTAAAAAGTAATTTGGGGAAAAAAGTCAATTAAAGCTGGAATCACTTAAAATGATAAACATACATTTTACATGAGCTGGATGATTAGCATTTGAAGTCTTCTTCTTCTGTGACAGCTGTTGACCTTTAGGAGTAAGCAAAATTAGTGTGGAGAGTTTATTCGGGCCAAGGTTGAGGTCTGCAGCCCAGGACGCACTTCCAGGTTGCCTTGGAGAGTGCCACGGAGAACTAAAGAGAGGCTCAAGTTTTTAAAGAAAAAAGAATGAATCAGAAGAAGAGGTGATTTCTAATGTTTTTCAGGAGTTCTCTTTGGTTTACTGATATCACATGAATTAGTGATTGGCTATACATTGTTGAACTATAGAGCATATGGCATTTTATGGTTACTTGGCATCAGTTAATCTAGAGCCTGCATAGTAAGTGGCTTCAAGAGGCAATTATTTAGCTCAAGGGGAGTGAGACTGACTGCTGGTATAATTTAAATGCCTCTCTGAGCCTGGTAATTTAAAGGGGCTGGTATTCCACAGATAAAAAGTGTTTTTTTCCTTCTTTCTCACAGCTGATGGAAATTTCAAGTTACCTTTCTTTCATAAACTACATCCAACATTTTTCACCGTTTGCACTTTTGAGATTCTTTTAAATGCAGCAAGAACTTAAAGATACTTGCAAAGCAATCTGAGTTCAGAACCTTCCTAGATTTTTATTTAATTTTTCTCCTCAATCTCTTCATTTGAGAGCAGATTTTTAGGTCATTTTCTTTTGTTGAATCCTAAGGCCCCAAAGATTGGATGAGGCATCCTAGTTTTTGAGATGTTAACATGTGAGAAAATATGCATCTTAGAACTGAAGGAGGCAGGGCCAGAGGTCCTAGGGCAGATTCTGTTTGGTGCTCCTGCTTGGAGGAGGAAGCTACACAAGGCTGTCACAGGGAATGCTCGCACCTCCCACCAGATGGCCAGCGCTGGACCGGGCATTCTGTGTGCGGGTGTGAGCCATGGTACCCAGTGCCAGATTGCGGAAAGGAAGCTGGGAGACTGGCCTGCGGACTGGGGTGAGGTCACTGCTCCTTCCTTTCAGGCTGGAGCTACTCTGCCAGGGCTTAAAATTTTAAATGGGTAGATAGGGTTAGTATTTTTGAGAAAAGAGAGAGTAAATCATAGCTAGCCTCCTCCAGCCTTTTTTTTTTTTTTCATAAGACACCAAATTAAACATACGCTTTCTCCCAGCTGTGATTGTCCTTCAGTTACAGAGAGTGAGATCAGAGCTAGACCATGTCTGACACAGCGAAGCAGCTCATTCCTTTAAGGACATTCACACTGATGTCCTATTTTCAAACCATTTGAAAATTGCATCATTCTGCCTCCAGTACTGGCAGTTTCTCTGTTCTGTGATCGATGTGATTCACAGAAACTTTTTAGGTAACAAAATGAGCCAGGGGTGTGGAAATACGACTTTTATATTGGTCTGGGATTGGCTATGAGCACCAGCATTTTCATTGGAGGCAGTTTGATTTGGGGCAGGAAAAAAGGATTCTGCGATTTGCCATGAAGGCTCTAGGAGAGCAGGTCAAGGCGGCCACGCAAATCCTAAAGAATGATTGTAGTAGGCTGGACTGCTGTCAATGGGAGCTGGCGAGGTGGCCAACTTACCTGCATGTGGGTTTGCACTGGCCACGCTGGTGACTTCACCGAGACCTCTCAGTGTCCTAGGAAGTGCCATTCTTTCTTCCTACTTTCTAAAAAAAGATAGAATCTTTATGGGAAGATTGGGTGTTTGGTAAGTATTTGAGGATCTACAGTGATGATCCCTCATCCTCCAAACAAAGAGGATATTGAAACTAAATAAAATATCTCACCAGCTAGGTGATGCAGGTTTTGTGGACTTTGCAACACTTGTGATCATTATGGCCATGAAGTTAATCTTCCTGTTGGGTCCCCACCGTGGACAACAATCTTGTGTATGTAACAGTCTGCCCTGTCATCGGCACATTTTCAGTCTCTTGGGTTAAGAGCCTAGGCAGTGCTATCAGAGAGCTGTTTGCCAGAAAGCCTGCACTGCTGCATCACCTGGCCTGTATTCTGCTGCTAAGCCTCATCGTTTGTGCAAACACATAGATTAGTTACCTAAATTGGGCCCTGGATATATTAGACACGTCATCATGACTCCAGTATATTACATATTCTTTACAACACCTGGTTTTAAAGTTGTGCAGCTATTTTTTTTTTTCTTACAGAGGTTTTATTGCATTTGGTCCACAGTTGTATTTCACATTATTTCATGGGCAGGGGTCCCTATAAAGTACTTGGCGGGACATGTAGCAGGCAGAGATACAGAAGTATAGCTGGTCAGGCCCAGAAGGGGAGAAAGAGGGCTGGGGGCTCCTTAGAACCTACTGAGGGGCTGGGTATGGTGGCTCATACCTGAAATCTCAGCACTTGGGGAGGCCAAGGCCGGTGGATCACCTGAGGCCAGGAATTCAAGACCAACCTGGCCACCATGGTGAAACGTGTCTCTACTAAAAATACAAAAATTAGCCAGGCATGGTGGAGCACCCGCAGTCCCAGATACTTGGAGGCTGAGGCAGGAGAATCCCTTGAACCCAGGAGGTGAAGGTGCAGTGAGCCAAGACGACTCCACTGCACTCCAGCCTGGGCAACAACAACAACTATAAAAACCTACTGAGACCACCTGGGGGTGCTTAGCATGGAGACAAGGTCAGGCTTAGCCCCAACAACTTGGAATTCCACTTCCTTGTACAGGCCTCACTTTCCCCACTGGGCCCCAGGACAGGTCTGAGGGTCTGAGATCTGTTGGCCTGAGGGTCCTAGGGAAATCCAGCCACTTGGGAGCCTGAGATATCTAGCAACGTGGCCAGGCCCCCTTTCCAGGGGACTTATTTCCCAGCACCCTCTTCACTGTCCCCACCCCATTCCTCGGGGAAAAAAGTGTATATTTCTTTTGTTAATACTTCCTGAAACTTTTATGGGTACTGAAACCACAAACTGATCTGCTAACGAAAGGGGGAAGAGGCGAGGCAACCAAAAACCTTTGAGGACCAGTTCCCTCCAAGCCCAGGTCTTTTCTCTCCAGCTGAGCTCGGCCCACAGCCTGGACGTGCCAGCAGGAACCCTCACCCTACACGTATCGGGATATGACCTTGACCCCTTCTCCCATAGCCCGGTGGCTCAGTCCTGTGAAGGACCAAGGCGGGGGAAAAAGCCCTGCTGCCTGATCCCACAATGCCACTCATAGACCCTCGGTTGATTGGCAGCACTGTACAAGGAAAAAAAAGGTGAAAACAGAAAAATCCCAAAACCCAGACGGGGAGACCATGTGGGGAGAGAGCATGCTGGGAGCCTCCGTAGCCGGCCTCCTCCTGGTAGTAAGAGGGATATTCAGGGACTTCCCTTGGGTCTGGACAGTCGCTGTGGCCCAAGGGAGCCCCATTGGCTTCCGTGCTTTGTGGGCAGTACTTGTGGTCCTGTACCTGCTGGCCCAGGCTGAATACCTGACCACTCTGGTTGGCGCTTTGCATGTAGCCCATCTGCAGGGACATGGAGGAGTTGTCACACTTGTCAGTTCCCAGCTTGGTGTCATTGATATGCCACCTCGTCCCAGGAACCATCATGCCCACCTGGCTGGCATACTTGTTTGTACCTATCTGGAGGCTGATGGTGGAGTGGTCCATGGGGGACAGGATGTGGTTCTTGGAGTTGTAGAGCTGCCTCCTCATGCCTTATGCAGTCGTGCCAGACTGGCTGGCACATTTGTTGGTTCCCGTCTGCAGCCCAACGACACACTGGCGGGCCTTCATGGTGGCATCATTGAAGTTCCGCTTCTGCTTTTCCAAGTACTTGACGGTGATGTCCACCGCGCTCTGCAGCCCCTTAGTCTTGGCGTTCCCTGCCAGGGCAAGAAGAGGCATCTCACCTGCATCATGTTCCCACCTTCAAACAGGTCAATGGGGTTCATGCCGTAGTTGATTCTTATAACAGAATACCTGAAACTGGGTAAAATGTAAAGAAAAAGAGTTTATTTCTGAGAAGCTGAAGGTCGAGGGGCTGCATTAGGTAAGGGCCTTCTTGCTGGTGACATTAGGTAAGGGCCTTCATGCTGGTGAGGACTCTTTGTAGAGTTCTGAGGTAGCACCGGGCATCACATGGCAGGAGGGCAGAGTGTGGGTGCTCAGGTCTCTCTTTCTGTTCTTATAAAGCTGTATTCCCATGATAACACAAGACGTCATATTCCCATGATAACTCAATGAATTACTAATTCATGAATGGATTAACCCATTCACAAAGGCAGAGCCCATGTAACCCAATCTTCTCTTAAAGGCCCCACCTCTCAATACTGCTACTGGAGATTAAGTTTCAACATAAACTTTGGAGGATATAAACACTCAAACCATAGCATTCACCCCTGACCCCGGAACTCATGTCTGCTCACATACAAATTCATTCATTCCATTACCATGATCCTAAAGTCTTAACTAATAGTTTTACAAGGATATTTTAGAATTGCTTATTCTGTATCATTTTTCTATTTAATGTGTAGATACATATCTTCTTTACTTATGGAAA